GAATACTTTTTAAAAATCCTATAATACACATGTACTTATCACGAAATTAAGTCTGGGTTCTCTGTCCCCATTAATGAGGTTTTACTTAATTGTCCTCCTTTTTAGCGAGTTAGTGTAGCTGCACGCTGAAAGCTTCATGACGGTGGATCATTTTCAAATAAAAATCACTTCACAAAAAAAGGAAATGGGAAGCAATAAGCAAATTTTCTCCCTTTGCTGTATTTTTCTCAAGTTTTTAAGAAAGAATGCTCACTATGCAATTAACATGAAAACACTTTTAGTAGATAAAATATCACTAAATGAACAAAAAAACACACCAAACATTCCCTTGCAGTACACACCCACAAAAACTGAATGTAAATGCCACAAGATTTTTTTTTTGCATGCTTTTTAAATCTGTTTTGTACACTATTAAATTTCTAGAGTCTAGAATAGTGTCTGCACATGGTGGTTACGTGCTCAAGATATTTGTTTAATATTTTCACTATTGGTCTTTTAAGCTGTATTACTTGTTTTTAATGTTGAAATAAGCCTAATAAGGCCTATAAGGAACATACCTTCCAGCTCAATTTTATTCTGATTTATAAACAGCATCCTTGCTATAAATCAAGTTCTAGGTTTTAAAGTCTACAGCAGGGGCCAGCAAAGTATGGTCTGTGCCCTGTTCTTGTAGGTCCCCAAGCCAAAATGACTTTGTGAAAGACAAGAACATGTAAAAAAAATACCTTAAATGGTCCACGAAACCTAAAATATTTACTATCTCGTCCTCTACAGAAAAAGTCTACTGACCCCTATAAATGAAACAAATCTAAGACCTCTAGAACTAAACCTCTGAATTTTTGGCTTCTTATTTGATTTGAAGACTATTTTGCATACTAAAAAAAATAACAAAAATGGAGGAAAAGGAAAAAAATGGAATACAGACAGAAAAAAATGAACTTAATTATATTTTAAATGAATAGAACTACATTTACAAAAAGAAACTAATCAAGCAATGTTTGAATACAATATTTTCACTATATACCTTAAATCTAAATAAAACATGAACTATAAACAAATACTAAATTCCAGTTAAAGGTTTGTTTTCACAGCCATAAGGTTTAGCAACTCTGAGACTACTCTTGGGTACCTTAGGATTTATCAAAGTAAGTAAATATATTGTGAATAAGAGAAACCAGTTTTCTCAGAGGAAGAAATTACAGATTAGGAAAGCGGAAAGCCCAGAATGACCCCTTCGGTGTTAGAATGGAATTGATAATATCAGGATGAACTCAATGGCTTTTTAGGTAAATATTTTTAAAAACCATGAAAATCTGTATATATACATATATGCATGTTCACCTACATATATAATTTCCAGCTCAATCTGTTCATAGATATCTACTAGAAAAAGAAACTATAAGGGCTCCTTGGAGAAATGGCTGATTCCAGGAATGGAGTGGGAATGTCTTATCATACAAGAAATGGGGTACTCAAAAAACGATGAGCATATGTCAAAAAAAATTAAAATTAAAAATTAAAAAAAAAAAAAGCACAGGAGCCAGCTTGAATGAGCTCGGACTGGTCAAAACTGAGAGACAATCTAAGCATCAAAACCCCAATGGATAAAAAAGAATCCATTAAGTTCATACTAATTAAAATGTGTACATACATAAATAAATGGAAAGAAAGAAAGGCTCTTAAAGAACACCAACTAATACTGATACATAAACAATGAAAAATCAACTGATTCAGGCAAAAACTATGAATGGATGCAAGTTTGATGAGTAACAAGGTATCTGCATAGTTCCAAAGTATCTCCCCCTAAGATACTTGTTACCAAGGGGAAAACCTAACTTTACAACGGACAAACCTTGCAGGAAAAAAGTTAACAACCCCATTAATGAATAAATGGACATCATGTGCTTCTAGAGAACACAATCACTTCTGGAGTACTCCTGCCAAAAATGCACAACCTAAACCTGATCATGAAACAACAGCAGGCAAATCCATATTGAGAGAATCCTAAAAATAACTGGCCTATTGTCATCAAATATATTCAAAGGTCATAATACACAAAGACACAGTAATAACCAACTGCTGCAGACTGAAGGACTCTAAAGACACGTGAGCACAAGGTGTAGTGTAGGATTTACTTCCTGTTATGGACGTTACTGGTACAATTAGTGAAATCTGAATAAGGCCTGCAACCATGGAAATGTATCAGTGTTAATTTCCTGATTTTGATCATTGTATTATGGTTATATAAGAGAACGTCCTTCTCTTAAGAAAATAGTTATTCAGAAATGAATGGTATTAAGAATTGCAACTTACTCTTAAAATGTTCCAAAAAAAAGTTTGCATGAGTTCACGTGTAGAAAACTTGGTTATAATTAGGTAAAGGAATCAGGATGAAGTACACAAAAAAATTCTTTATCATTCTTTCGATTTTTCTGTAAATCTGAAGTTGTAAAATAAAATTTACAAAGTGGAAAAAATAAAGTTAACCTGTATTTGGACATTATGCTAGTAAAAGGGAACTGTGGGAAACTGAGGAATGGTTCTCCTTCACACAGGAAGGGTAAGAAAAACATCCCAACCAGGGTTTGAGCCCCAGGTCCTTCCAGTCTGAGCTCCAACACACAGAGCTGCGGCTCCTGAGTAAAACTGCAAGGATGGGCTTCAGTTTCCTCACTTGTGAAAAGGGGATCACACCTATCCCACTTTTCTCACAAGGTTATCCTAAAGAGCCAGTAAAATATGATGATGGTTGGGGGAAAGAGGCACAGATTATAAAGCTCTATGTTACAGTGGCTAACTTTCTTAAAAATTTTAAAATATGTCTATTGACCTTAGAGGGGGAGGTAGGGAGAGAAAAAAACACGGACGGGGTGCCTCTCATACACGCCCCAACTGGGGATCAAACCCAAAGCCTAGGTATGTGCCCTGACTAGGAGTTGAACCCCCAACCTTTTATATGGGACAACACTCCAACCAACTGAGCCACACTGGCCAGGGCTACAGTGGCTCACTTTTAAGTGTTTGAGAAAGAAAAAGTACTTCAAAAATACAGAGTTGTTTTTTTATTCCAAAAATTTTTAAAAGTGCCTGAGTTTTTTCTGCACAGCAAATGGCTGTTATAGAAACTAGACATTTGCTATATGAGATGTTTGGGTTTGTAAAAATTTTAACTTTTCCAACATTCTTTTTAGCCATATAATGTCAAATATTTCAGTAAATTCAAATAACTATATTTATTTCTGCCAAAAAATACTTTATAGTATCAAAAAATTAACTAAATTAAAGAAAGCCATTTACTAGGACTTGGTCAACACTTTTTAAAAAGTCAAGATATGACCAACAAACAATACTGTATCTGTTTCAGGTGTACTGCGCAGGTCAAACTTTGAGAAACTGTGACCCAGCACAACAAGATCTTTATATCATTTCCCATGTTCTACACAGTAAAATACATGATCCAAACAGTTCCATCCTTCACTTACAAGCTATTCAAATGAGCCCCGAGGAATCAAATCAAATTCAGAAAATGTGAAAGAGAGAGACCAAATTGTCTCGTGTACACTTAAATTAAGGAAAAGTTTGTTTTAAAGATAAAAAATATTAATTTATCCTTCTAAATTCATAAAGGTTTGGTCACCACTTAAGAAAAGTATTTTTAATCATTTGCATGTGGAGACTAATATCTCATTGACGAAACGCCCTTAGTATAGCTGTATTTTTAAGTTATGATTCCAAAATGCCAAATGCATTTTAATACATGTTAGACCACTGCTGAAAACATCGTATCACAGTGCTCCTTAAATAAATCTGTTGCTCAGTCTTTATTTGGAATAGCAGACGAGAAATGCGGACTTCATAAGGCAAAATGCTGAGAAGAGACCAGGCAAATGTGAGCCTGGACAGAAGCGTGGCAGGCAAAGTGATCTCCAGCAAAGAAGCAACGTGAGTCACTGGTTCTGCACACAAAGGACTACAAGAATGAGAGCCCCAAGAGGGAAAGCTTTTCATTTGTCTTGTTGACCACTACCCCAGCAGACAGAAGAATGCCTGGTACTTGGTTAGCATTCACTAAGCACTGGTTAAATGAATGAACAAATGAATGAAAGAATGAAATCCCAGGTCTTTCAAGTCAGCCCACATAAAGTACCTTAAGTTGCAGAATTATTTAAAAAGCAAATCTGGCATACGTTAACTTAATAGCCATACTGCCTTTAAAAAACAGGAACCAACAACCTATATTCCCCATTCTGACTAAATAATGTCAAAGTTCATAACATATTTCTTAACCTATAGTAATAGATACCGTAACACATCCACATACCCTTCCCTGAGTGTAAAATATGGTGTATCAGAAACTCTTGTAAAGCAGAATTAGAAAGACAAATGCATAAAATCAAAATCACAAAGAGCAAATGTATCATGTTTACGGTCAAACTTGAGATAGCATTAATTCAGGTAAGAAATCACAGGCTACAGAAACACATCTCATCAGCATTTATTTCTCATAATAGTACCTCCACCAAAATCTGCTCTTCTATAATTAAAAAATAAAAATTTGTCATTTTTGTTTCTCCATTCCTACAGCATATCTGTCAATGATTTGTCATCTTATAGTTTGAAAAACTTCCTCAAAATATAAGATGTATTTTACTTCCAACCATCAAATTAAGGGGTTTGCAATTTACTCATATTAAATAGGTAGTATTATATTTCTTTTACAAAATATACAATGAAATTATGTGGAGAAGAATGCAAATAAATGCAACCAGAGTATATATAACTTGTGCTCACTATTAAAGCAAATAACTTTTTTCTCTAAACCTATTTTTTTGGTGAAGAAATTCATCTTATTCTCTGTATGTTCTCTTTGAGATTACTAATATATTCTATTTCTTCTGAGTCCCAAATAGGGCCCATATAATCAAGACATCATTTCAGCACCAGTTTAAACCTAATTATTTTCCAAAAGGCCTGCCTTACGCGGATTATAATCATCTTACTATGCTTCTTGTGTCCATGCTGCTGGAAAAGCAGTCTGTACAAGCAGGAAGTAGAGGCACAATCCTGAGAGAGAGGAGTAGAGAAAGATGTTGAGAAAACAAAACCAGAATAAATGAGCTCACTTAAAGAGCTTAGGAGCTCAGCCAGTGCTCAAGGTCAAGGTTCACTACATTCTCTCATACCATGATGAGTTAGAAGCTGTCCAACACCAGCAAAATTGGCCCTAGAAAGAGATATCTGAAATTCTATGTACAAGTAGTAATACAGTCACTAATTCAAAGCAACTGTACTTCTAAAATAAGAACAAGTGATCATAAAATATGACTAATTCAGATACCGGGCAATATGGATGTTCCCTAAATTTCAATCATAATTACTGTAACAAACTCAATACGTGCCTAGAAATGGTTAAGCTATATATAGCACATAAATTTCAATCATGTCAAATTTTTATTTTTCATCGTGAATGATCAAGACTATAACACTCTCAAATCATATACTCTCAAAACTATCCATCTAAATTTTTTTAATATTGGTTTAAAAACACACAACTTTTACTGTATGTTGTTTTAAACTGAAAAACAATAAATGAAAAGCATAATTACAACATAAAACTTAGAATGGCTTTAATCTAACTGGAGGCTTCAATGGAGTAGTCTCCCTAGTAAGAAGTGAAAATTATAAACACACCAGAGTTGATTTAAAATTTCCCGTCCAACATCCTATACTCCTACAGTGTCATAAAATGACCTTCAAAATAGTGCTTATACACAGTAAGCCCTTCAAAAATTAATTCTCTATTTGGTCTAAGCATCTTCCAACAGGAAATCTAAATATAATCTCAAATCAGTCATTTATTTAAGAGGAGAAAACCGAATGTTCAGAAGTGTTACCTACACTGGTCCAGGGTCACTCAACTACCTAGTATGTCACCTACCCATGCAGACAAGAAATCTGTGTTTAGTGCACACTATGTATTAGGACACTGTGCTATGTACCGAAGATACAAAGCAATGACAATACATGGTCACTGTCACGGAACTTACGGTCTGGTGCGAAAAGCAAATACTAATTACTTGAAGTTGTAGTACTAATCAGTAGAAGGGAAAGAACAAAATGCTTTAAGATGGTTTGACAAGAGACCTAAATCAGTGATTCTCAACCAAGGTCAGTTTTGCCCTCCAAGTGACATTTGGTAATGTCTTGAGACGTCTCTGGTTGTCACAACAGTGGGCAGAAGCCAGGGTTGCTGATTAACGACCTAACAATTTCCTTGCAGCAAATAATTATCCAGTCCAAACTATCAACAGTGCTGAGTAGAGAAAGCCTGATCTAGACCACGGGGGCAGGGAGGGGTTAGTGAGGGCTTCCTTCCTCTGTAACACTTAGTATGTTACATCTTCAAGGAATTTTCACAAGGTGGAAACAGAAAAGGTGGCCTGATTGGATAATCAACCAAAATTTCCCACTGGAAAGTTAAAACAGGAAAGAAAAAGGAGAAAGATTCCCTGGTAGATGAAAATGAAAGAAAATGCAATGTTTAATAGCTGCTTCACATAAATTTCCTTTCCTGTACCATAAGCAAAGGGAAAATGCACAAATTAAATTTTTTTTCATGTTTTTATTTCCTTCCCACTGTTTTTCTACCAGCCCATGTCTACTACTAGATATTGGTGGAAAGAATATATACAAAGTACTATAGCTAAGCACATGAACATTCTTGATACAAAACTGGGAATGGAATAGAACGAAGATGGGATTTCACCCCTGGTGTGCAAGACAAGACAGAGAACTGTGCCATGATTCTGGCAAGTCTACATCCCGGACTCGTTTCAAGAGTTCAGCTATCTGACTAACCGAATGACCCTGAGCACAAAAACACTAACAAATCAGGTACCCTAAAAATCATAAAAGGTACTAGAACCCTCTTAGAATTGATGAACCAAGGTAAACCCAAAAATTAAACTGCACTGATTGTCCTGACACATCTCACACCTACACATCTGGTCCCTTCCCACGCAGCTGTTCAGAGCAGCAAGAGAACTGGGTCTGGGATGGCCCACAGAGGGTAGGGGCGACCATGGCAGTGCAACCAGCTAGACAAAGAACCTCAAAAAAAACATGGTCACTGACTGGTACTTGATTATGTTAAAGAGTCACTAAGTTTCTGAAGTGTGACAATGGTATTGGGGCTGTTCTGTGAAGTCTTTAAATATTAATACTATCCAATACATAAGGAAAACCCACCACCACATTCGCCTTATCTAAGCATAACCAATGCACAGCAGATTCTACAATTTTCAATATATTAGGAATTCCTATGTTATGAAAGTGCCCCCTCCAATTAAGTTATAATTTTCTAAAGAAAGGGTCACACGTTGCTATTCTCTCTTCCCTTTTTTCAAAAATTCTACCATAACCAAATACCCCAGCATCCTTCCGGACATAGCACAACTGTGCAGCTCATAAAATTGCTGCAATCCAGCCATCAACTGCAGCTTGAAACTAGTCCACAGATGTAAGCAGACCACCGAGACCCTTTTCACTGCGGCGAGAACTCCAAACCCTAAGAAGGAAAGGCCACCATCTCAGAGCAGCCACAACAGTGTCTCCTAATGATAACAATTCCCCAGCTGACCCTTCGGAATCCTTCCATTCCCAACTGAACAAACTCTCTTTCATTTCAGAACCAACATAGTGGTGGTGGGGTTAATTTTTCATCACAATGACACTTAAGTGGAAATGAAGGTTTTCCCACACAACGGGCACAGTGGCACCTAAATATCAATTCCTGAGTCTCAATCTCAATCTCATTTAACTCATGCTAATTCAGAGGAATTTACCACATGAAGGATTTTCTGACAGTGATTTTGAAGACATAGCTGGGGAGGCCACAGAACCCCTTTGAGAAATTACAGGGAAGGGGGCAGGGTAATCATGATGCAAACACATCCTGCATAAGGTCACAGGTTTCCAGAACTCATCTGTTGTGTGCAGACTAAACACCTGCATTCTTAACTAAAACTTCTAGCATGATCTTGTTTTCAAGCCAACTGGGCAGTCTTGAAACACCTGAGAATTAGCAAGCCATAGAAGCAAAGCATTTCATATTTTACATATTTTAAGTATCAAAATACCTCACTGACAAACCTTAATCATTATGCCTAGGACCGAATTTTGGTGCCTCATAAAGCAAATGGCATTTCTTTTTTAAGCTTTTTTTTTTTATCCTCACTTAATGGCATGCTCATTGATGCTTTTTAGAGAGACGAGAGGGAGAGAAGCACAGATCAGTTGCCTTGCGTGTGAGACCCCCTGGGACTGGACAACAAATGGATTTCTTCACAATTCAATGCTTCTAAAATGTTTAAATGTAGCAGAGAAAAGTGCCAAAGTGCTCAGCCCAAGGATAAATGCTTTTAAAAACCAAATTCATTATAAGTAAACCTAAAATATCTTTTCCTCCTAATCCTGTAACTCAGACTTTTTTGTTTTTGTATTTTACTACATAATTTAATAGAAAATACTTATTACTAAACTATTGCCTAGTATATGCTTACTTGCAACAAAATTTTCACATCAGCAAGCATTATAGACATTCACAGAAACTATATTCAAAATCAGAAAAAAAAACCTAACAAGATCATGTATTTTGTGTTTAAACAAAAAAAAATTAAGCATATTCTTATAATCTTCAAATGTATTTTCTTTCCTCAACCTGCTGGCTAGCTAACCCTACTTTCAAACATGGTGAAATTTGAGCATATTAAGTAACAAGGGAGTTAAAACAATGTTTTAAGGTATTTGAAACAAGGGGAGAGAGGTGAATGCTACCCACGTTAAAATGGGAATACTACTACTTGTTCTGGTAAAGATTAAATAAGAGGTTAAATGCCATGTAAATGTTAGGCCTCTGATACTTAATGTCAATACTAAAATGAAAAACCAACTAACATGTCTTCCCACTGTGCTCTCCTGTGACCAACCAGGATGCTGGTTTTTATCTACCCCATAAGGGATCCTATTTAACCCCTCCTAGAGAATACATATTAAGAACCTTTTAAACAAACATGAGAGACCCCATCAAAAAGTGGTGGGGTGGGGTAATCAAATAACTGTAGAAGAGCAAGGACTTTTTATAATAAAAAACATAAACACTATTCATGCTGCAGCACTCTATGTAGCAAATGAAAAGGCTACATGCGTGGTAGGGGGGCAGTCCTGCACAGGTGTGAAACAATTATTAACAACAAATTAGGACACCGTGTCATTAAACACTTTCTACTCCACATTTTAAGCGCTGTATTATGGGGGTAGAACCAGATTTTATAATTTGCCCCAAATTATCAGCTATCAATTTATAAATAAAATTGAAAAGATTCTCAAGTCTATTGCTAATTATTTATAAAGGAGTGACTTTTTTTAAAAAAAAAGTACAAAAAATGCTTGTTTTCACACAACTGTGTCACTGCTCTAACCTAGAGTCCAAATCACAGGAACGTTATCTAACTTTTAGCCTCCTGGCCAATTTGCTTCCCAAAAGCCAGTTCTTGGGAGGGGGAGGGAGGATGAATATGAAAGGAAAGAAACAAAACTGTAAAGCAACTTTTAAAGGTATTGTCCTCTTGAAATTATCAAGACATGCCTGGTACTTTAAGAGGTGAGTAAGATTTTGTTAATCATACCAAAGAACAGGGTTATTAGCACCTCCACATCGGAAGTTCATAGAATTTGTGTGAATTTAGTTAACATGACATTAAATTTTTTTCTGAGGCATACAGGTTAAGGATAATTGTGGTTGTGTAAGCAAGTACTTGTGTTTATTTAATGTTTGCATTAACGTCTAAGTCGGAGTTTTAACGTTTTTTAAATATACTTTATCAAAGCCTAGCTCCCTTCCAACTAGTAAATCCAATTAAACGGTGAAAATTAGACACCTGCTGGTTAGAACTGTGGCGTTCGATCTGACACGTGACTGAGCCCTTGGGAAATCCTTCCCCAGCATCTTCCCTGTCTCTAAGCACAGACCTCTGCCTCCCGTCTGTCTTTCGGTCGTGATGATGGGGGGTGAGGGAGGTAGGGAAAGGGAGGTCGGCTAAGAATAAAAAAATCACCGAATTACCTCGCTTCCCGGCCAGCCACCCTCTTAGCCTAAGTCCCTAGCTGGCAGGTTACCTAGCCAACAGTATCTCGATTATGCACACTTAGGTGCACTGTGAGCAGCGATCAGCACCCCTTCCGGGCTCTTTCTGCACCACCCGCCAGCGGCGCCTGACTCATTAAAGACCGCGGGGAGGGCTGGGCAGCGAATGTCCACCCAGCGTGCAGTTCAAACCCCACAGGCCCAGGGAAGAGGTGGGTGGGCCAGGCCTCGGAGGAACCGACCCCGAGAGACCCGCCAGGGGCCTCAGGGGGAGGGGCCCAATGGGGCTCTCCCTCTAACCCCGCAGCCACTCAGTCGGGCGCAGGAGACACCGGAACCTCCCTCCGCCCTGGGACCGCCCTCCCCCCCGGATTCGGGGGAGGGGCGCGGGGGCAAAGAGGCACCCCTCCCCCCACCGGGGACACAGCTAGGCCGCCACTCGCCCTATTCTGAAAAGCCCTGCAGGCCGGTGCCCACCCTCCCCCTGCAAGCCCGGATCCGGTTTGGTGGGGGAGAGTGGGCACAAGGGGAGGTTAGGCTGCAATACCAACCTCGCTGTTGAAGATTTTCACAGCCTCCATGTTGTCGGTGCGGAGGCCCCGAGCCCGGCGGCGGAAGAGGCGGCGGCCACTGCACTGGGTGGGGAGAGCGAGACGCAGGCGGCAGCTCAGCTGCGAGAAGCGGCGCTGGCGGGACAGCGGGCCGCTGCGACCCCGGGTCGGGCGTGGAAGGGCAAGCGCTGGCGGGGAAGGGCTCCCTCAGGGGCGGCGAGGCGCGGGCATGGCCGCTGGGGCGGGCGGAGCGCCGGGCTGGGGAACACAGGCGCTGCCTGGGCGGGTCGGCAGCGGCGGGGGAGGGGCTGGGCCGTGGCGCCTTATCTTCTCGGCCCCGCTCCGCCTCAGTCTTCCACGCTAGAGCCCCGTCCCCTATACTCTCCACCCCCTTCGATCTCTCCCTCCGATAGGCTCCTGTTTCACCTCCCCGCCGCTCGGGCGGCAGGAACCAGCAGCGCAAGACGAAGACGGAGGAGGAAGCGCTGGCAGCAGCGGCTGCGGCATCCAATATGGCGGAACCGAGTCGGGCCGCGTAGCTCCGAGATCCGCGGCGCCAGCCAGCGCGCCCCCTGGCGGCTGGACCGCGAGGCCCGGGCGGCCGCTCGGAAACCATAGAGGAGTGCGGGCCAGAGCGTCGTCGCCCGGAGGCCCGGCTCCTCCGGCCCCGGGACCGCCCGCTCCCGGCCCCTTTCCCGCTCCCGGCCCACGCGGGGGGCGAGCGCAATAACACCGTGGAGCTCCTCCCGCCGACCCGTGGAGGACTGTGCAAAGCGTTGCTCCAAACAAAAATCAAACGCCCCCCAAAAAACTCAAGTTTAGGAAATAACATTGTCCACGTTTTTTGTTGCCATGTGGATTTACCCTTTCGCAGAGTGGCCGGGTTTAGTTACTATTGAGAACTTGAACGGACAGTGGCTTAGAGGGTAGCAGACGAAAGAAAACTTCCTAGTCATTCATGTATTTGCTAACGATGTGCCCAAGCATTTTGATAGCGTGGGGAGGAAACGTTAGAAACAAAAGCCTCGGAGCCGGGCGGGAGCAGAGGGACGGGGAAGCTCGCTCGCAGCCCGCGAGCAGCGCGGTGCAGCTCGTAAAATCCCGGGGACTGGAGTGGCACAGACAATGGGTGCATTTGTCTGGGCGCCAGAAAGCGGAGCCTCAGATGCACAAGTTTCGGTTAGGTGAAAGGGAACCCATTTTTGTGGCAGGTGAGTTATTCTAGAGGAATTTTGCCCGAGGTTGTTTGAAGTAAGAGTGAATACAATATTCCTCGATGAGACGGGAGATGCTGCTAGCAAAGATGCCTCCTCTCTCACTTTGTGCAATGTAAAATCACCAGTACCAAAATAAAAGTGAACTTTAATTTAGAATTGACAGTTGAGGTGTATCATTGAACCGCAAACACTGCTGTCCTCTTGTTCGAGAGTGGTTTTCAGCAGTCCTTTCTCCTTAATTCACTCAAAGGAAAGAGGGAAATGAGAGTAGAATGGTTCCATGGAGGATTGTTAGAATCAAGGTACTAAGAGCTGAATCCCAGAGCCCTATGAAACTCAGAAACAAAGGCCTTCACTCTTTAAGGTCTTTGAGTCACCTTATTGACATCTTGAAGTTGGGACTGGCAACTGAGAAGGTAAAAGAGTAACTTCATTAGTAAAGACTTAATAATTCTACCTTCAAATCTCAAATGCTGTCCCAAAGTTCTCCATCGCTATTTGCCCCCAATCCTCATAGGCCAAGCCATGATGATCTCTTGCCAGGAATTGCAGTCGCCTCCTAATGGGTCTCCTGTGTGTCTGCCGATGCAGTCATGGCTCACGTTAATGACTGTTTGGTTAACGAAGGACCATATGTCACAGTAGTCCCATAAGACTGAAAAATTCCTATTGCCTAGTGACATCATAGCTGGACTTAACACTGTAGTACAACTGAATTACTCATGTGTTATTGTGTTGATGTTGGTGTAAAAAAAGGTACCACCCTGCCAGTCATATGAAACTATAGCATGTACAATTATGTACAGTACATAATAACAAATGACTATGGTACTGGCTTCTATTTGCTGTACTTTTTATCATTTTAGAGTGTATTCTTTCTACTTATAAAACAGTATACTGTGTTCTGCCAGCAGCAGCCTCATACATATGTTCGCTGCATGTTTTCAATGAATCGTTTCTCTTCAGCTTGACTTAGTCTCGTGTTGTTTTATAGTCATATGATCTACAGGTTGTAGCCTAGGAGCAACAGGCTACACCACAAAGCCCAGGTGGGTAGGGGGCTAAACCATCTAGGTTAGTGTAAGTGCTCTCTACAACATTCCCGCACCAACAAAAGAACCTAACACCTTTCTCAGAACAGATTCCATCAGTAAGTGGCTTGTGGCTGTAGTTCATTCTTCAGACTGTAGCCAGAGGAATTTGGGGGGTTTGGCTTTGGATTTTTTGTTTCATTTTTAGACAGAAGTCAGAACAGGTTACCGACTTAATCCCTTGCTTGCATCCCTTCAAAACTTCCCCAAAGTATTTCAGATACGATCATAACCTCTTAGCATACAGAGCCTGGCCACCTCAGCTCACACTGTCTTCCCCCTTGCTCATTCTGGCCACATGGCCTCCTAGGTTCCTTGACAACTTGTTTTCCAACCTAGGAGGATGCTTGCATGTGCCTCTTCCTCCAGTGGGGCACTATCGCTTGGTTGTTTTCATTAGCTGACTCCTCATCCTTTTGCCCTCCTGCAGGAGGTCAGTCTGCTCAAGGAGCATGCTAGGGCTTACACAAGTCACTGCTCAGTTCTGCTCATGCCAGATTCTCAACATCCACTGCTTAGGCAGATGAGGGATTGTTTATTCAGTCTGTCAGTCATTAATGAGGGTTGACTGAATTACTTAAGCCTGGGAAATTCAAATGCAATTCAAGCTAAAAAATAAAATCAGGCGTTAACAGGTTATGTGACTTGGTTTAGTAAAGCTTCCACACCCAGAAAGATAGCAGAGGGCATAGGTTGACCGGGGAAAGGGAAAAAGAAAAAAGAGGACAGCCTACGCACACTCTTAAGGTGACAAGGAAGTGAAACAAGATGAAAATTAGAGAAAGTGAGAGGAGGCTAAAGAAAGCCAGGACTCCCAGAGCAAAGGCCAAATAGTTTATGCACAACTTCACACCTCCACAATGCAGCAGTGCCAATACTCTAGTATATGCATGTATATATTGGTTAGGATTCCTGTTTCCAGCATAACCCATTCGAGCTCGTGTAAGCATGAAAGAATTCACTGTTACAATACAGGTTTTTCCCCTATAACCCAAAGTCAGGAATGCAAGGTTCTCATTTGAAGATAAAGTCTTGAAAGGGACAGTCAGTTAAAAATGAACTCATTAGGATGGAATCTAACCCAACATGACTGGCGTCTTTACAAGAAGAGGAGATTCGATGTTTCAGTGGTTTTCTAGGATGTTCCTTGGGCTCCTGCAAAATGCCCAACTTTTCATGCCTTCTTACCTTTGGACATACAAAGGTGATGACCTGGAGGAGGGGGCGGGTGGAAGGAGGTGGAGGAGGGTAAAGGGGGGATAAATGGTGATGGAAGGAGACTTGACTTCTTGACTTGGGGTCTGAGCACACAGCACAGTGTGCAGAGGGTGTGTGTGGAATCGTATACCTGAGACCTGCATAATTTTTTAACCAGTGTAACTCCAATAAATTTAATTTAAAAGGAGGGAAACGGTGAATAAGACATGACAATAGTGTTTTTAAAAGGCACAGTAGCAACACTAAAGAGAGAAAGGCCAAGAGTGAAGGTTTGGCCAGGAAAGCATATTAAGGAGATGGTGATCAAAAGTACTAACGGTTGCCCTAAAATTGGGTAGTTAGAAGTCTAGGTGTTTCCATTAGATCTAGTAAGTAGGATCCATTGGTGGCTTTGGTGAGAACAGCTTCAGTGTAGTGACAGGCAAAATTTAGAGTGCAGTGGGCTGAGCAGAGATTTACAAACAACTTCGTTCAAAAGGCTTAGAGTGGAGAGAGGAGAAGTATGGAATGAGTTAGAGAACAAGGGGTCACGGCCGGCCGTGGTCCCTACACTGTGCACGGAGGTGCCCCGGAGGCCAGCACTGCTGCTGGGGAGCTCAGAGGGCTGTCGCAGGACGGACACCTGAGCCAGCCAGGGAAACACATCACCGCCGCAGGGCGCACAGGAAGGCCCGCAGGGAATTTGCAGCTTCTGCCTTAGGTCGCACCGCATTCCTTCCGACCCAGTCACGCCTGTGTCAGTCAAGCTGGGCCTGCAGTGCTGCTGGGATGAAAAGGAAGTGCCTGTGGGAAAATCCCTGTGGAACGGGAAATGCGGGCGGACGTGGCCAATCTGATTTCTAGAATGGAGAAGCTAGCTGCTCAGTGCCCGTGGTTAAGTAATGCGCCATCTAAGACTGAAAAGGAAGTTTTCCTTCGTGTTACTATGTATTCTTTTTTCAAACTGATACTAAGCGGTTGGAACATAAGTGCTTGTTAGGGTGGTTGACCCAAACCACATAAAAATGGAACTGGGAGGTATTCATTTGGTCCTAGGGGACCAACCATGAAAAAAACATTTATTGAGATACTAAGAGCACTTTTTTTTTTCCCCCTTCAAAATCTGGCATGTGGGGATTAAGCTCGATTGATTTGATTTAGAAAACTAAACTTCGGCCAAAGGGAAGGGAGCAAATGGGAGGGAACAGCGACCCCTCGGGAGAAACCTGCCACTGGGAGGGGGAGAGAAGGTGGGCACAGATCCTGTGCGCTCCCCGTCCATCGGGGTCTCAGCTGCCCCTCGATGGACAGTGGGCCCTCCTCCACAGAGCGTCCGCAGTCTAGCATTCTCTACACCCTCCACCCCCGTATTGATTTTCTTCCCTTCTAAATCCAAATCCCCACGACCCTTCGTCTTCACCGTGTTTGGTCTCTTTTCAGATTCTTCAAGAACTAAATAGTCTTTCATCAAAAAGAAAGAAAGAAAGAAAGAACACTAAAGAAATGTAACAATGTAAGTATGGAGCTGATTTCTGTTACCTGTTACATATGTTGCAAAAAATGTTTCTAGTATCCAGTAAACAACTAACAAAATGAAGCGCTTATTATCATCCCTTTGTAAGAAGATGAAAAGGAGTCTCAGAGTAGGTAAACAACCTTGGCAAGAACCCTAAGTAATGAACCAAGTGGATACAAACATGAATTACTCCTTGTGTGCTTACTATTTGTAACACTGTTGCCTATATTAATGGTTGATTTTTTTTCTGTGTTCAAACAGCCCTGTTTTGTTTTGTTTTTTCTTTTGACCCTTTGACCCCCTTCACCCATTTCTCCCAACCCCCAAGCCTCATTGCTGGCAACCAGCAACGTGTTCTCTGTATCTATGAACTTGTTCTTTGTTTGTTTGTCTTTGTTCCATTTATTAGAGAGATTATATGGTATTCTTTGTATTGAATCACAACTCAAGAGTGATAACCATATTGCTGGA